AAAAAATTCGGTTCTTTTTCATCGAGGGAAATCATTCATTTGCCAGACTGAAACATGGGAAACTGCAGCTTTCTCTGTGAGGCAAGACTCTGAACTCACAGAAACAGCTCTACTTTTGCTCTGCTGACCTACCTCTGACACAAGGAGTCTATCACTTCTGGTTGCCTGTGAAAAGTTACCTCAGCAGCCATCAAAGATGGCAGTGAAGCTCCTCAACCTGTGCAACTCAGAACGCCTGCTGCCTCCCCATCTGCTTGTGCTCATCCACACTACCCCTCCAGGCTGACTGCACTTTCCATGGGGGAGCTCAAGTGGAAGAGTATCTCACAGTGAGCTGTTACTGGCGAGGGATAACACCATTTATGTTGTGTCACCACACAAAGATGGGCCTTTTTTTTTCCTTTTTTTTTTTTTTTTGGTGAAATTTGCAGTTTCCCTATGAAAAATCTCATTCCTGAAAAGGACTTCTCAGTTTGACTCTTTGGGGAGGTCACCTATTCAACTGCTGTTGACTGTTTTCTGTCATACAGAAGGTAGGAAGTAGCAGCCTGATTTCAAATTTGGCAGCAAGTTGGATTCTCCTTCCATTCCTCAACATTTAATTCACCTACTTAGCACTGTAAAGTGTAACATGTGACCTCTTTGCATGCCCTAGTTATATTGCTCATTAGACTGTGCAGTTTAACAAGATTTTCAGTGACCCCATGGCTAATAGCCCACTATTCTTAGAAGGATCCTTACCTTCCAGCACAACTGCTTGTCAGTAATGTTAGTTGGATTGCAAAGAGAAATCACCAAGTTCAAAGCTACTCAAAAAGAGGAAAGGGAGAGCAATATCCCAATTTGTCCTTCTGCTACCCTGTAATGTAAAAACAAAGGGTGCTATTACTACTTTTTTTTCCCCTTCTGCTACTGCTGTATGTGTTGCTTCCAGTGAGGATTTAGGTTCTACTGTGCAAAGGCAGCTCTCAGAAACAAGCAGCCTAAGGAGCTGTGACAGGCAAAGGAAGCACTTTTAGTCCTGTTTTTCAGATATAAAAGCAGAACATATAGACTTGCCTGCAATCAAGCAGGAAACCAAGGGCAGAGCAGCACCGTGAACTCAGGCCTCTGATTGTCAGATCTGCATTTTCATCACACTCCTGAGCATCCCTGTTTGTCTTTGAACTCGTCCAGGGCGATATAACACTGCACCAGGGGCGGGTGAGTGCTCGCTCACAGTGCTCCTTCTGCAAAGCAGCTCCTAATGCAGAGCTCTCTGAATACTTTACAGTCAGCTCTGTGCAGCATGTCATCCAGGCATGGAATTCACTGCCATAAGAGGATGTTGAGTCAAAGGCTGTAACTGAGTTTCCTGAAGGATTGAAAAACAGCCTGGTTAGTTTAGGAAACGGGGCTGCCTTTCTCCTTTTTTTGGGGGGAGGGGTTCATTTTGTACAGGGTTTAGGGCTGCTGAGTCCAAGTCTGGGTGCTGATGTGGAGCTGCTGAACTGCCAGACAGAAAATTAGTGATTGTGGGTTTTTTGTTTGTTTTTGTTTGTTTGTTTGTTTGTTTTTACTGAAAGAAGTCTCTCTCTTTTTTATTTAGTGTTTTATTTGTTTTGCCCAGGAGTGGCAGAAAGAGACTCTTCTCTTGCTCAGAACTTCACCAGAAGTTTCTCACAAAACTTTCAGCATATGTGACACTCACTAAAAAAAACCAAAAAAAGACAACAACAAAACCAAAACAAAAAACCCTAAACAAACAAACAAACAAACAAACAAACACACACCCTCCTCAAAAAAAAACAAAAAAACAACCAACCAACAAAAAAAACCCAAACAAAAACCTGTCAGGCCAGACAGGAAATCTGTTTGTTTCTTTGCACTTATGTTTCCACAGGGCTGGTGAATGCAGCATGCAAAGTAGCTGAGATTGCAGTACTCTTATGTCTAGAGGACTTTAGAATGGTTTTTACCCTGGAGATAAAAAACCAAAACAACCACAAAACCAAAACATCATCAAAAAAACTCTCATCCCAAAACAACAAAACATGGGGATAAGTAAGGGGAAGGGAAGAAGAGACAGAAAGCATCCGTGAGGTCAGGTGATTAAGTATTTTTGGACTGCCAAGGTGGTGATCTTAAGTGAAGATAATGTATTATGCAGTGGAAAGCTAATGAGACCAGGTCTGTTAAACATGGACTTGGTGTTACTTAGCTCTGGAGTGCTTCAAATTACACAGGCCCAGGTTGTATTTGATCACAGCTCCTGCCCTGACAAAGTGAGGAGCAGGCTTTTATATAATGTAAGCGATCCTACACGGTGGGGAACGATCCTGCAGTGGCAGCAGAGGGAAGCCGATGACATAATGGGTCTTCTACATCTCGAAGTTATGTGATTCATCAATTAAATGAATTCAGTGGGATAAAGCAGCATGAAAGGGCAATTTCCCCATAATACTCTGCCTGATGATTAACTCTTCCCTCCCAATTCCAGCCGCTCCGCTAGGAATTTACCCTTCGCCAGTGTGTCCAGGAGGCTCGGGATGTGCAGCCCCTTCACTCCTGAGGCGGGCCGGGCTACGGGACCGGGGTCCGGGACCAGGAGAGCTCTGGGCACTGCGGGCGCTGTCGCCACCCTCCGCGGCTGCAGCACCGCTCCGTGCGGGATGTACAGCCCCGCAGCTCCGCTCCGTACGGGATGCTGAGCCCCACAGCACCTCTCCATGCGGGATGCTCAGCCCCGCAGCCCCGCTCCATGCGGGATGCTGAGCCCCACAGCACCTCTCCATGCGGGATGCTGAGCCCCACAGCACCTCTCCATGCGGGATGCTCAGCCCCACAGCACCTCTCCATGCGGGATGCTCAGCCCCACAGCACCTCTCCATGCGGGATGCTCAGCCCCGCACCGCCGCAGGTGCTGCGGTGGAACCCGCGGGCAGCCCCGGACGGGCTGCGGGAGGTCTGCAGGGCCCCTCTGCGCGCCGGGGAGCGGCTGCTCCGCGCACCTGTGCGGGCCGCTTGTGCATCCCCTCCGCGTTTCCCGGGATCCCGCCGGCTCCCCGCAGCCCATCCCGCAGCGGGCAGGGGCCGGGGCCGGGGCCGCCCGCATTGCGTCGAGGGCGCGGCGCGCAGCGTGCGGGGGTGGCCAGCCCGGGGGCAGCGTGCATCCCTCCCTCCTTCCTTCCCTCCTCCCGCCTGTCCCGGCCCCCCGGCTCCCCCGCCCTCCCGCTCCCCGAGCTGCACCAAACAGCTCTCAGGTTTCTGCTGATACTGCAGCGTCAAGAAATGGCTCGAGTTTGCTCCTCGCTCCGCTTATGCATTCAGCAGCCCTCTCGCTCCTGCCACACGCGCCCAGCTCCTGCCTCCTCCTGCTGCCTCTGCTGCTGGGACGAGCCAAGACCGACTCCGGGGATGCGGCTGCAGGGCTGCGGCGCTCTGACATCTCGCCAGCCGCCGCTGCCCAGCGCCCGGCTCCTTTTCCAGCTGTCCTAAGGGGAGAGAGCGGGAGAGCCGGCGGCTATCTAGGACTCCTTGATTTTATTTACTAACTCAAGCCTTTTGGAAAAGGTACTTTGCACTCTTTTCCACACACTACCCCTCACCCCCCACTGCGGTTCTCAGCAGAAACTAATTAAACCCACTCGCCCTTGGTGCAGCCTAAGACAGTGTATGAATATTTCAGTGTCTCGCAGGCAGCCCTGTAAAGCGATCGCTGTGTTATAAAGAGGGGCGCAAGAGGAGGAGGAGGAGGGTTAAGTTTGCCGCTGCGGTTTTTGTTTTGGTTTGGTTTTTTTGGATGCTGCTGCAAGGCGACTTGACGCATTCCGGCACTGGCTCCTACTCCTGACCAGCGCATCTCACTCGGAGCAGGTAAGGAAAAGCCCCTTTTCGCCCCCCGCCCCGCGCTGTTAAACTCTATTTTGGACGGTTTGGGTCTGGGATGTCGATCTCCCTCCCCTTGTCTCTCTCGGAGTTGAGTTGTGTTTAGCTCCTGCAAAGCAAGACAGGAGATGCTTTGCTCTCCTCGTCCTAATCCCCCTAATTGGTGTGATGAAGTTGTCAGAGCTCAGCTAAGTCTCCACAGCCTGTGAAGAGGGGGAGCGCGGTACTCAGGAGACTCCTTGCAAGAGCTGACCCCGCTGAAGTTGCTTGGGAAGCCCTCCCGAAGAGCTCAGGGCACATTCCTGCCTCGGAGACCCTGGTGCATGTCCGGGGATGTGTAGGAACGCGTAGGGCTCCGCGTGTGCTGCCGTAGTGGGCAGAGCGGGATGTTCTTGCTCGTGTGGAAGCCAATCCATTGCGCCTGAGCGTGTGTGTGTGTGGTGGGGCTCGGGGGCTGGCTTATTCTATTTCTCTCCTCCCTGGCAGCCTCCATCCTGCAAGTGAGCTTTATGCCCTCAAAAAGCGGAGTATTTCCATCCCTCCCTCCCTTCCCGGCAAGAGGAGAGGACCAGGGCAGTGGAGGGGGGAGGAGAAAGGAAGGGGGGAGGGGGCAGGTGATGGAAATTTGCTGAGTTGGCATTGCAAGGACTTGCCTCCCAGCCGGCCCATGATTTCTTTCTTTATATATTTATTTATTTATATATTTATTTATTTTATGTGTATGTATGTGTGTGTGTGTGTGTGTGTAGTGTGTGTGTGTGCGGCAGCTTCGTGACAGCAGCTGCGGTGATGGTCGAGCCGGCGAGAAAAGTGGACGGAACGAGTTAAAGGCTAAAGGAGACGGCTGGGGAGGGGACCCCGGCCTGGGGTGCGCTCCATAGACCTTCAGCCTCCCGGCCTGGGGGACGGGACAGGATCCCTCACCTTACCTGCCCTCTTCCCCTCCAAAGGTACTTCTTCCCTCTTTCTTCACCCTCCCATCATCCCTAATGCCCCTCCCTTCATCCCGCCCCTCCTGTCCCCTTTTGAGTATTTCCATGCTTTAGGCTCCTCACCCATCCCTTCCTCAAGCACCCCGTCCCACCTCATCTTCCCTCCCTGCAGTCTCCGAGCCCCCTCATCCCTGAACTGCCCTGGGTCTCTCTGCTCTCCTCCATCCTCCTCCTCCTCCTCCCTTTCCCTCACTCCTCCCCTGCCCCGTGGCCCCCTTCCCTGTGTGCCACCATGACCGTGATGGCTGGAGAAAACATGGACGAGACTTCGGCGCTCCCTGGCCACCCCCAGGATAGCTACCAGCCCGCTGCCCACGACGACCACGAGTGCTGCGAGCGGGTGGTGATAAACATTGCTGGACTGCGCTTTGAGACGCAGCTCAAGACTTTAGCCCAGTTCCCCAACACGCTGCTGGGCAACCCCAAGAAGCGCATGCGGTACTTTGACCCCTTGCGCAACGAGTACTTCTTCGACCGCAACCGGCCCAGCTTCGACGCCATCCTCTACTACTACCAGTCCGGGGGGCGGCTGCGCCGGCCGGTCAATGTCCCCCTGGACATGTTCTCTGAGGAGATCAAATTCTATGAGCTGGGTGAGGAGGCCATGGAGAAGTTCCGGGAGGACGAAGGGTTCATCAAAGATGAGGAGAGACCCTTGCCGGAGGGGGAGTACCAGCGCCAAGTGTGGCTCCTCTTTGAGTACCCAGAGAGCTCTGGGCCGGCAAGGGTTATTGCAATAGTCTCTGTCATGGTGATCCTCATCTCCATCGTGATCTTCTGCCTAGAGACATTACCTGAGCTTAAGGAGGACAAGGAGTACACAGTGCATCGCACTGACAACACCACCCAGGTCTACAAATCCAACATCTTCACAGATCCCTTCTTTGTTGTGGAGACCCTGTGCATCATCTGGTTCTCCTTTGAGCTGGTGGTGCGCTTCTTTGCTTGCCCCAGCAAGACCGATTTCTTCAAGAACATAATGAACTTCATTGACATTGTGGCCATCATCCCTTACTTCATCACCCTGGGCACCGAGATGGCCGAGCGGGAGGGGACTCAGAAAGGAGAGCAGGCCACCTCCTTGGCCATCCTGAGAGTCATCAGACTGGTAAGAGTCTTTCGAATCTTCAAACTCTCCCGGCACTCTAAGGGCCTCCAGATTTTGGGACAGACCCTCAAAGCAAGTATGAGAGAGCTAGGTTTACTAATCTTCTTCCTCTTCATTGGGGTGATTTTGTTCTCTAGTGCTGTATATTTTGCTGAGGCTGAAGAACCTGAGTCTCATTTCACAAGTATCCCTGATGCTTTCTGGTGGGCGGTGGTATCCATGACCACTGTGGGCTATGGTGACATGTACCCTGTGACAATTGGAGGCAAAATCGTAGGCTCCTTGTGTGCCATCGCTGGTGTGCTGACAATTGCCCTGCCTGTACCTGTCATCGTGTCCAACTTCAACTACTTCTACCACCGAGAAACAGAAGGGGAAGAACAGGCTCAGTTACTTCACGTTAGCTCCCCTAATTTAGCATCTGACAGTGATCTCAGTCGCCGCAGCTCCTCCACAATCAGCAAATCTGAGTACATGGAAATCGAAGAGGATATGAATAATAGCATAGACAATTTTAGAGAGGCTAATCTCAGAACTGGCAACTGCACTGTAGCCAACCAAAACTGCGTTAATAAAAGCAAGCTGCTGACTGATGTGTAAACAAAAAAAAACACCACCAAAAACCAAAATCCCCACTCACAGCTTGAAGACTTTAGTGACACAGTCACAGTTTGTAGATGCTTTACTGATAGTCTTTGAATGCTTTATTTACCTCGTAAATGCATTGTTGCATTGCGAATTTTTGCTCTGCGATAAAGAAACTTCCAGGATCCATGAAAGATAAAATTTTTGTTTATTTTCAAAAAAGCGTTTTCCACCTGGCTATTGATAACCATTTGAACTAGTTTAGTTTTAAGCCGTATGACGTTAGACCTAAACTTTTCCTCTCCCGTCACCCTTTTTTTTTTTTTTTTTTGGATAAAGTTAACTTAAAACTAAGCAAGACAGTTTTCAGAGCTATACAGCATATGCATGGATTCCAGTAAAAATATTCTGCAAAACACTGCGCAGTTGCAAGAAAGTGCATCAGATAATAATAGTAAAAAAAGATTAGCCAAAACCCTTTGGCAAACATTTGCCGTGGCTTTTATGAAGGAGCGCAAATTTTTCCTTCCACCCCCTCTGTGAAGGATTCCACACTTCCAACCTACAGATCCACACAGCACCTTATTAAAAACGTACTTTAGCTTGGTCTCTTTTGCTGTCCGTAGGAGAACTATTCTAAAAGGAAAATAACGAGCGAAACGGAAGACAAAACATCTGCAATGCTGCTAAGTTCTCTTACATGCAGATGGTAAAAACACACTTTTCTTTTCCCCCCCCAACCCTGTTTGGAACTGGATACAAAACTTTAAGCCCCTCTGTTGCAAGATAGCACAATGGAGTTTAATATAAGCATGTTTGAATTTGATACTATTTATTTTATAATCGCATGCTTGAAACGTTACCTCAGACAATAGCGGATAAGCTTTCGTTTGAACTGAATCTTCTAAAAATAGGTCCTTTATCTCTCTTTTTTCTTTTCTTTTTTTTTTCTTTTTTCTTTTTGATTTGCATTCACCAGAAGTGCACTCCTTAATTTATTAAATCGTTGACTAGTAATTTAAAGTACTGTATTTAAGTGCGTATGTTAGTCAAATGGGAACAATAACTTTTGGAGATCAAAGCATGTTCGAATATTCAGCATTATGGCCTATTTGATTAAAATGTAACTTGAACTAATTAATGCATGAATTCAATGATAATGATAATAATAATAATAACAACAGTAATGATAAGAATAAAAATAAAAAAAAATGTGCTTGATAGACTGAGGGCCTGAATGAACTGATTAGAGAAACCTGATTGTTTTCCTGCATTGCTCAGGGAAATGTGTTGGCTTTTGTCCAGGCGTTGTCAGAAAGGGACATATCCCATCCCTTAAAGGGAAAGCTATATGGAAAATTAAGAAGTCCAGTTATATATAGCAACACCTAAAACCTAGTATCCTTTATAGCTGAAAGGTGCAGATGCATGCTTTTTGGTGCATTCTCAGAATGTAAATGAAACTTATCTATTATATGCATCCAAATTGCAGCAGCTGGTTTCTTTTGCAGTCATCAGTTGAGACTTTTTTGTATTCCCCTAAAACTCGCTGAAGAGACTCAACAGGTTGATTTAGATAGTTGCACAGTGCCTTTATCTTACATCCCCTAAATTGCTGAAAGTGCCTCCAGGAACTGAGCTGATCAGAGATGTTGAAGGAAAGGGCAAGGCGTAGGCACACTGTCAGAGGTGTTCTGTACTGTCCCCTGGCACAGCACAGGAGGGGGTAGAGAGAGAAGGACCAAGTGTGAGTGAGAGGGACGCAGAAGAGGTGGGCAGAGACCACCAGTGCCCGTGGGATACCTTCCTTCCCCAGCCAATCTCATGCTGCAGGGCTCAGCATCTGCTTTTGCCAAGTAACTCACGGTTGTGTTTGTGCAAGGCTTCAGGTTTCCCTTGGTTGTTTATAGCTATCATTGTATCTGCCCTTCCTTTCCCTGAGATGGCTTTTTGGCAGCCTGTCCCTTCATGGCAGGACGCAGGAGGAATTAGGGACCAGCATGAGCTACGGCGTCACCCAGTCAGGCAACCAGACTGGAGGACTGTGCTTTTCTTTCCCGTACATTTCCCAGGTGGGTGGGTGGGAAAGGCTTTCCAGTGCCCTCCCATCCCTGTCTCCTCTCCTCCTCTATCCCCTTTTGGCAGACTGTCAGATCTTAAATCCCATCACCGATCATTTGAGCCATATTCTTCTTTCTCGTCCCTATTCTTACTCCCACCATCATCTGGTGAAGGAAGCAATGCTAGGAGAAGGTATCTTCTGCAATATGCCAGCCTTGACTGCTAGGCCCTGGAAGATAATAACCTTTGATCTGAACTAATTTAGGCACTAATCTTTATTTTTTAAATGGACAAAGCTGAGGATCTTCGTTCTGCACTTAGCATGTGGCCAACTGCTGTTGAACACTTCTCCTTCCACATTGTACAGATCCTTTCTTCCCCTGTCTTTCTGATATATGTACATATGTGTATAAATATATATATATATGTATGTCTGCTCCTGTGTGTGTCACATACATATGCAGACACATGTATATATAAAATCAAGGCACTTAGAGTTAAAAAACAACCCTAACTCTGCAGTTACGCACAAGCTTGACCTGCCAGGTTTCCAGAAAGACTTGGCTTTATTTCTCACTGTGTGACTTCTGTCAATCTTAGAGATGAGAAAGCAATTAAGAACTGAGGGAGCTCTAACTCCTGCAAGAAATGCAGAGCATCAGATACAACAGGGCATTACATCCTCTAGGCAGATGTTGTAAAGCTTCTTTCCTGTCCCCTGCTCACACCCCCGCCCATTGTACACCTCTCTCCCCATTAAATTTTAGTGGTCCTGATCTTCCCAAACTCTTGAATTCTAGGGTATGACTTCTGATGTCAAAATGGACTTGAATGCTGCACTCAGCTTATAAAACCACCAACTAAACTAAACAGCAATAATCATTTCAGTGCTACGGGACCGACGATCAGAAAGATGCATTTGGGACGTGAGGCCTCACTTTGGTAACTTCTAACCCCAGCTGGGTATTGCACACCTTAGTTTAATGTGCAGAGTGATAATCATTCTGCATATGTGCAGAGAAAAGTGCTGCATGCAGCAATTCTTCTTTGTCAGGAGACCAGGACGGGTCTTCAGGGCCCAGGGTGGTTTGGGGAGCCCGAATGTTGCTTTGTCCATTTATAGCTCACTGCAAAGGATCTCAATACATACGGAGTACAGGAATTAACCTCATGTAGCATAGGCATGCATTTTCAACAAGTTTGACACACAAAAAAATACCACCAACAACAAAAAAGGCTCTTACTCCCTATACACAGGAGTGCTGAAATGTCTTTGTGGGCCTGAAGGTGCACTTAAAAAACTGCCTGTTCTTACCACTAAGTATTTTTCTTTCTTTCTTTCTTTCTTTCTTTCTTTTTTCCCCCTTTTTCCTCTCTTTTTTTCTTCCTCTTTTGGCCCTTATATTTCTTTTTTGCCACACATGGACTCTATGGGGTTGTTTATGTAGTTGGAAGAGGACTGGAAATGAGCTGAGGGCCAGTTTATTAGTGCTTCTCTGAAAGAGTCAAGAGAATTCACTTGGTAGGGAGAATTCTTTTAGTGGGGACCTCCCAGAAGCGATGCCCATGTTAAGCTGGACAGAGAAACCAGTAGATATGGCAGTCTTAGCTGGGCTGTAGTTTGGTGAGGGAAAGCAGCTATTCCATAAGGAATCACTACACAAGCCTCCTTCCCCAGCCACTGCCCCCTGCCTCTCTGTGCTTCTTTGCTGCCTCCAAAGAGCTTTTCCTTCATCCACTTGGTGAAGGGGATGAGGGAAGTTACCTGGCAGGAGCAAGGCTCCAGTGCACTGCAGTGCAGAGGCAGGAATCCAGTAGGCTGGAATCACTGCCAGAATTCCCCTCCTGGTCCTACCGTACTTAGCTCCAGAGCACTAAGGAACAGGCAGAGGAGAGTGAAAAGGAAAGACTCTGTACCCCGTTCCTTCACAGAACCGAGGGGTTGCTGCCAGACTGCCAAGAGCTCAAACCCTCTGTGTGGCAGCTCCAGCACAGACAATGAACTGGATTTATTTGCCCTTATGAGGAAGTTAGCGTGCAGTAAGCCAGGGTGTGAGTTCCCAGCATCCCAGCAAAACCATGCAGATTCCCTGCATGGAGTCTCCTAAGCCTTATCTCCACTGGGGACTTCAGGAAAGCTAATCCGAATCAATGAAAGGTGTGCATTCAAAGTAGATTTGTTAAACCGCTTTAAAGCCCAGCATGGACATTCTGTTGCAGTATTAAAGCAACCTTAATCTGATTTGGAGTCATTCTTTTTGGAGGAAAGTAACCTGAATTGAATTAAGGCTGCTTTAATTCCGAACACAATGGGGCTTAATGCAGTTTACCTCATCTGCCTCACAAGTTCATTCAGACAGATAAGCCTTTAGTAATCATTAGATGTACTGGAATTGACCCTGCTTGGCAGGGGGTGGCTGGGCAGAGTGTGCCCACTGTGCAACAAAACTCTTTAGTACATGAGTGCTGGAAATTCACATCCTGGCTTACTGAGGGGATAACATGTTGATCCTGGCAAGGGTTCTGGTGACTTCCTTCCTTTGTTCCTGGTTTACTCATTTGTAGGTGTGAGGAGGGTCAATGCTGACAATGATCGCGGCCCAAGGAAATTAATTTCCACTTACAAAATCTCTTCACTGCACTCGTGCTAAACCTGATTTACTGTTGATCCTGTGGACAAGCACTTGAAAGACAGTGCGAAGCACTAGAGACAGGGCAAAATTCAGCAAATGTCCTCTCGTTTGCAGCAGTGATTTTTGCCCTTCTTAGCAAATCACTCGTTAGAGGCTGCATTGGTCCAAATCAACAATTGATTGAGCAGTGGCAACTTTTATTGACAGGTTTTGTTGGGTTTTTTTTGTTTGTTTGTTTGTTTTAAATTAAAGGATAATTGTTTTAAATAGGCAGAAGTACAGAAAGTTAGTTTCTGTTAGGAGAGAGCTGAAGCCCAAGAGTAACCTCTTTATTTCTAAGCATGAGGAACTGAGGGTGTTTCACTTTCCCATAGTTTACACTGGAACGGTGCAGTTTCTTGTATGCTCAAATATTAAACAAGACACAGTGAACAGTAGGACAGGAACATCTGAAATTAATTAGAAAAAGGTGGAAAACTGTATTTTAGAGCAAAACCTTCTGCATACATGTGCAATCTATGGAGAGAATATATTCCTTCCCAAATATTAGCTGGATAACTCTTACTGGAGGGGTGCCATTCTGGATTAATCTTTTCCCCTAACATGAAGAAGAGGGAGGTACTGCAGCTTTTCCAGGAATGGTCTGATCCTGTAGGCTTCCAGCAGCCTGATGCCAATGATATTCACAGTAATTTCAGACCCACATGGATGTGGAACCAGCTCCAAGGTGTGATTTACCCTCCGTGGCCACAGAGCTGGACAGAACTGGAAAGCTGTGCTTGCAATTGCACAACATGGCAAGTTTGTTCCAGACTTGCCCATTGCAAGTCTGAAACAGGCTTCTTTCCTGAGATGCTTTGACCAGGGACCTACACTTCAATTTTTATTGGACTTTAGCAGGCTTTCTTTTTTTTTTTCCTGTTTTCTGTTGTTCTGGCTTTACTTAATCAGGTGTAGGGAATTTATTTTTCCTGAAATGCTTATCAAATATTCTTAAAGGTGTCAGTATTTGTATCTGCAAAAAATGAAACTTCAGGGTGTTCTACTGTTTCACTCAGTACAGGTGAACTTGCCACCGGTGAGGTCAACTATTTATGCTGTCAAGGCATAGCATGCTTTGATATTTTCAAAGGAAATAAAATGAAACTGAGGTCTTAACTGAAATTTGTCTCAAAGTTTCTGTTAATATTTGTATAATTCTGTATATTTCACCTGTTCACAGGCTCTAGCAAATGTCACTATAAGTTACAAAAAAAAATATCATCTTCCATTTCTAGTTTCTATAATAAAATGAAGACGCTGCATTCAGTTCCTTTAGGTGCATCAGTCTTTGATCCATGTTATTGTTTCAGTGACATTTCTATAAATGTAATTGGGATCAAATGTATATTTTACTTTTGTACAAAAGTAAAAATGATATTTTTATGACTAAATTCAGCAAACCCTTACCTATAACCCGCTAAGATGAAATCTTTTTTTTTTTTTCTCCTTTCCTTTACATGTAAAACATTGTTTATGCAGTATGTCGGTTTGAAATGAATAAATAACAGCTGTCAATAGAACTGTAAATGGCCTCTCAGACATACCTCTGACTTTAAAGATCAAATATTGCCGATGTGATATATATAAACTGAATAGTCTCCATATGAAAGTGCACCATCAGGGCAACAAACCATTTAAGCTGACACAGCTGTACTTATTTCCACCATTTACAAATCGCTTATACTTTGGTCAAGTATGTACTTCATTGTCACATTACAGCTCATTTTACTTCCAGTAGTGAAATTGTTTGACTTACCATTTTTGGAACATCTGATGTTATGAGTTCTCGAACTATTTGAAATGCATAGTTTTCATCTATGCAGTTTTACCTGCTTCTGTACTCGTTCATCTGTTCATACTTGGCATCAATTAAAGATAATTTTTAAGGATCTTACCCAGGTTTATTCTGTCTGGTTATTTTCTGGAGTCTGGTTTCTCTGCTGTCACTATTGGCCAGTTCCATCTGAAATGAATGGTTGGTTTATTAATGGTTTTCTTATTGAATGGTATAAGAAGTGGCAAAGTAGTGAGTGGGAAGTGGGGCTGTGGGCTTTGAGAGTCTTGTAAATGTGAACTCAAGCTTTACAGTGCAATTAATCCAAAGGTTTGGCTTCCATAGGCTTTGGATCTAGCCTTGAGCGAGTAATGTTCTGGGGCCAAACTGTGCTGCCTTCACTGCTGACACATCACTCAGTTCCACCAAAAAAAGCAGAAATAAGATTAAACCTCCTGACTGTGAACACTTTGTTCTCCAAAGGCTTGTGGGTATCAATCACTGCCTGTAGCATTATCATCTAAGTGCAGATGAAATCAGTTTTCAAACAGCTGTGAGACTGATCATGGGGTTTGGTTTGGGTTGGGTTGAATGTCAGCAAGTCAAATGGACTTTGTCTTGTTTTCTTTTGAAAGTTGGTTTTTCAAGGTGTGTTTTGTGCAAACCGGTCTGATACAGCCACGTGTGCCGTGTCTCAGTGTTGTGTCATGTACAAAGAGGGCAATGAGATGAATGCTAATTATTTTCTGCCAAAGCTGGTGTGTGTTGGGAGTCCATCTACAGGGGCTGGCAGGTCTTTCTGTAGGTAGGTGCAGTTTGTAACAGTGGGATGAATGCTGATTCACATATGGGTGAAATGAAGTGAAAATACCCTGACCTCTACATGAGGCAGAACATTTTATGTGGCCTGTAATGTGATTTAATTTACTTACTTGTTTTGCTTTCTTGGTCGAGAAAACCTTCCATCAATGAAATCCTCATTCATCAGTAGCTTCAAGCATTTAGTTGGTCTGATTGAATATCACTTACAGATTGTCAAAAATTGTTTTGTTGAGCTGTCAGTAGGGGTTTGTAGTTGTCAGTTTTAAATGGGTCTAGTCCAAGACATTTGTCTGTTAGCTGCTCTGTGGTGGTGGTGGTCTTAATTCAATGAGATACCCGTGTCCACGCCTCACTTCAAGGGTGTGATCACTGTCATTGAGTTTGGTTGGCTCTAGGTGTGTCTAAAGTCTTATTGCTTCATCCTTTTCTCTTTCTTGTGTAGAAGAAAAGCTTGTTAATCATCTCTATGTAGGAATCTTCTCCCATTTGTTCAAGCTCCTGTTGTATTGTTTAGATCAGATTGTAATGTTGCTGCATAACCCGTTTCCCCGAGCCTCCAATTCACTTGCTGTATAACCTATTCCTGTATCTCTCTACTATTTTTCTCCCACTGTGGCCAGACTTCATCTTGTGAAATACTGACCCCAGAGCCTTCACTGCTGGGTTCCTGCATGGTCTGTCTCACCATACATGGATCTAGATTAAAAGCTCCTTTTCCTTAGGACTGGAAATAAAATTCTTGTATCGTAATCAGGTTTTTTTGGAAGAAAGACCTTGCCTGTTTTTATCTGTGCTGCCTCCTCAGCGTGGAAAGTGCTCCCACTAGGTTCTTTTGGCCATGATGCTGCCAAGATGGTATCTCATCCTGTGTCATTCCTCATCTTTCCCACAGTCTGTGCAGTCATCACTTTCTGGGATGTGGTCAGTTTTGTTAAGTGGAGGTTTTCAGGCAAAACTTTGTGCATTCAGGCCCAGGTTCCAGGACATGGGGTTTGCCCTCTAAAATGATTCCATCAAAAAAAGAATAAATCAGCATTGTGTATTGGGTTAGTTGAGTCTCTAAGTTATTCCTTACTTAATCTCAGAAGCAAATGTGTCGGTTTTTCCCCCCAAAATGCAAATCCTCCCATGCTATCTTTTGTATTTCATAAATTACAAAAATGTTGCACATTGAGTCCTTCCTTTGGTTACACCAGGCCACCTCCTTGTCTTGTAGGTTTTCTCTGAAGCATCCTACACTGAGGCAAAAATTGTGGCTCTGCGGGTGTAGCTTAGGTAACAGACATGATGGTCCTTGGAAAAGGCTCCTCTTTCTTCTTCAACTGCTCTGACACTTGGGTTATAAGGGGAGCAGTAATTCAGCAGACTGTCAACACAGAGAGATACAGTCCAGTCAGTAACAAGGTGCTATTTTTATATGTTACCTTCTTGATAGGTTATAGATGATTTCAAAATAAATTTGATTTACCCAAAAGTTAGTCTTGGAAGTCACTCAGCTTGCATGTACTGTTTGATTAATGGATATGAAATAACCGCTTTATGGAAACCTAGGAATCTCAGGTGTGAATATGTACTCCCTTGCCATGCAGGCACAGGGTATTTCTACCTCAGTGAATGAGAATCCTGATACTCCAAAGCACAAAATTAATCTTAACCTCTGCTAGCAAAAATAAACTTTTGCAAAGGTACACTCTTAGCCACTGTTAAAGTTTTATCCATCCTCTAAAGCATCTGGAGCAGGTGCCTTCAGGGCTCACAGTTTAAGTCAGATGGTCTGACTGCCAAAGAAAATCAGACCATCTGATTCAGTGCTGTCCCCGAGAGCAGCTGCTATGAACTGCCACAGCCAAACTCTGCAAATATGTGCTGCTGGAGTAAGCCAGAGCCCACAGAAGTGAATAGGATTGTATCTTTTCCCTTCAGAAGGTTGTAGAGAGACCATGATTTCATGCTCCTTTTCAGTCTGCTAAGAAAAGAAGAAGAGAAACATTCTGTACTTGAGGCTTCTAACAGGTACTTTTAGAGTTGCACTGTATCCCACGGTTGGTCTTGCTATAAAAAATGCTCACTTCACAGAGTGTTGAGATTCAGCGTTGGAAAATCAAAGAAGCTTTAATTAGCACAACAATACTTCAATCCACTCGGCTTCTCTAAGAGCTTCCTAAAATACCTCACATTTTATTCCAACGAGAAGACAATTATGACTCTTGAATAGAAACCTTTTACAGCTAGAAGATGAAAATGTAATTGTAGATGGTATATTTGGTGACCTCCTCTTGCTAGGTAGGAACAGTAGCACATTTGGCTTTTGAGCATGGGAGCACTGACTGTGAGAGAGAGAGAGCTGCATAAAAAAGGCTGGTTGATCCTTAGAAGGAGGACAGGTCAAGGACAAACGTGTTTTATGGGTCACCATTCCCATGCTGCAGGCTCACCTGTGGTTAGTTTCCCTGCTGTGGGAAATCCAGGTGCAGTGGGAAGTGGCTTTAGAGTCCCACAGTGCCCCATCCATACAGCCCACAGTCACTGCAGAAGATTTAAACATCTTTGGTGTGTACAAATGATAAGAGGGCTTGACAATTCCAAGGTACTTGCATCTGTGGGGAGTTTCCTTTGGCATTTCAGTCCCTGATGTAAGAAATATCTCATGTTTCTCATCTTGGTAGGTACAGTCACGTTCAATGGGGAAAGAAGTGGCTGAGCCCACAGTTACACTCCAGGGTGGTGCACACATCCACATCCATGGAGTCACATCCTACTTTTACAGTAAAGCTGTTTCTGTTTGGCAAGGAATACATCAAGCCCATAGCTCAATATAAGGCTGAACTTTGTTATGAATAATTCAGTGGTGAGCAAGAAAGAAAAAGAAAGAAACAGCCATCCAAAACCCTAGCTTTCCAGACAAACCATGGAAAGATTGTCCGAGTACTTTTCCATGAATACTGAGAACACAATATAGATTCAAAATATTTTTTCAGGTTGGGAAAAAAAAAAAGTTTTTAATTTATTGAATGTTTAGCTCATTGCTGCCTAGCCATTCTGAACACATATCTACATGCAAAGTTCTGCACTAAATTCTGAATGAAGGATCTTCTAGATTCTCATGGTATTTTGTTCTTTACACATTCTGCATTGATGGTGAGAACTGACACTGCCAACAGGGTCCTGCCTTCAAGCGGAATCACTCACTCATGGTAGGTGTTTAGATGTGTTTTCCTTTCTTCTTTGAGGTTTCCACTCTTTTTTCAGTGTGCACTATTCCTCTTCAGCTGAAAAAAAAAAGCCAATCTCAATTTACAGGGGAGGTACCTTTCCTTTGGTTCCTTTTCTAGCTATCCAAACATTGTGATGAACTTGGATTGCTGAACTTTGACTGTTGCCATGGCTTTTGATGCAAATAAATCACTTGCAAATGTTCCTGAAATACTCATGGATACACTTATTTCCCTCAAGCCTGATACAGGCAGCTTCAATTAGTGTCACTAAGTTTGTTTTTTTCAGTTGCAAACTTTTTTCTGTAGGAATCAGAAAAGATAAAAGCGTAAATGAATGTTTCCAAAAATGTACTTTGGGTGGTTTCCTCCCAAAGAGAGGGAATTTTTTTTTTTTTTTGCTTAAATTGTGGTATCTTGGCATTAATTATTTGGGAAAGAATAAAAAAACCCCCACCATTAAAAAAGATCTCTGTTACTTGGGATACATACCTTTGTTGTGATTATTTAGATGATAAAAATGGCTGGCGTTCCAAGGGAAGAGCATTCACTGCTAATGGGGCTTTAATGTAAACTTTTGTGATACTTAATATTTAAACCCTGAGTGAGACATGAGTATTGCAGGACCTGCTGCTGGGTGTGAACAGCGACCACGTGGTGTTAAAGGGCAGTGTCTCTGCAGCGTGGTGACTCTGCAGTTCTGCAGGAATAGCCACAAGTGGTCATTGGAGTGCAGGGATGCAGCTGGAACTGAGTGTTGCCCATGGAGATGAGACCCCAAAGTCACCCTGGGTCATTGCTTCAGTGAGGAATGGCTCAACAAAAGAATGGATTAACTTTAAGGCTCCAAATAGCAAATGAGAAATCTTTATGCCTGTGAGGAAAACACTGATCTGATATACACTTGTTTGTCCTGAACAAATTTGTGCAGTAAATCATGATGGACTAACCTCTTCCCATTCCAACCACATTGGCTTCTGGCCTTTGGGCTCTTTAACGTATGGCACCTTTTTCCTTTATGCTTTTGTGTATCCTCCTGTGTTTGAGGCAAAGAAGTGTCATGAACCAGAGCACTGCCATGTTTTA